GCATGTAATGAGTCTAAAACCAGCCACAAATGTAGAACGATGATTATCACTGCACAATGCTATGTGACTGAAGACATGACTTTCACTTGGTACATAGCTTAATTCCTGCTACGCCACCAATTTACTCAGCTCCTTTACGATGTCAGATACATCACCTACTAACCCCAATCTGAACTTTCTGCTTCACAACAATCCTACAAGGGGAAAAAATCTATTACAGAAAAGGGTGCTGACTTGCACCTCGTCCTCCACACTGGTAACTAGGCTCTACATTAAGAGTCACCTAATTTTAAAAGAGAACAATTTATACTTCGAAATACAACAAGTTCTGAGAGCATGCTTCTATCACAAACCCATCAATGTATACCAAAAACAAAACAAAACAAAAGTATGTCTTGTGCTGACATTCTCCAGTAAGTTATCAAAACCCCCTGAAATATTATAACCATGAATTTTCATGTGAACTCTCCGGGCAGCCACACAGTTAAAGCTCTTGAAAGCACAGACTCGGCTGGTTTGAAGACAAGCCCTACGGACTGACAAAGCACCTCTGCAGAGGCATGGGGCTGCTCTGTGTTGCAGCTGTGTATCCTGTAATGTGCTGAAGCTCAGAAAAACATTGCGAAGACAAAGGGAGCACAGAGTCTCGAAGAAGCAAGAACCCAATTAGAGACAGTTGTTTCTGGTTTTGTTCGTGATGATGTTAACAAAAATAAAGCAAAATGAAATGACAATGCAAACCGACTCCCTGTTCTGGGGAAATTGATAGTTCTAAACAAAACCATTCTCCAAGAGCATACTACCTACAGAGGACTGTTTAAAAAACAACAACAACAACAAAAGTTAATTCTCATTGAGAATTCTCAAGCAAAAGAAGGGTGAGTTAAACTGCTGTCAAAATGAACAGCTGTTCTTCAGAGAAGCTACAAGATTTTGAAAATTTTCCCCTTTGGTCTACATGGCTTGAGGCAGCAGGCTGGAACAGATGTTCCCTTTCTAGCTATTGTAATAAGGGGCTTGTGGAGGAGGAGGAAAACCCTAAAGAGCTGTATCTATACCAATTAGTTGTGAGATCCTCGCAACATTTATGAGAGATACAGTTACTCAAAGGTATAGTAAAGGGTTTTGAATAGTCAGCCTTTACTTGAAAAAATGTAAGTCCTGAGGCAATCCTAAATTATACACACTTTAAATTATTTACATACTAAATTTCTATTACAAATAAAAATAGCACTTTTTTATTTTGGGGTCAAGAGTTAGGTTTCAAGGTAGGCTGGTTTGCCAGCTCTAGGGATTTATATATTTCATAGGCTTTAATACAGTTAGTTCAGTCACATATGGTATAGACTCCGGAGCCAGACAGCCCAGCTTAGCATCTTGGTTTCTTACTACTTATATAATGAGGAAAGGCAGGAACTCTCCATACCTCAGTTTTCTCATCTGTAAAATGGGAATGGCAGCATACATTAAAATACACCGAATCTAGTTCCATCAAGGATTAAATAAATGAATACAACACCAGTCACGTGGTTGGGACTATGTGTGCTAGTTATAAATTAAGTAGAAACAGATACCACCAGAGGAAACCCAAGTCTGAGCAGAGATCAGAAGGGTAAGTACAACAACTTAGCCAGGCAAGTACAAAAGATCACTTAAGATAACAGGAAATAGGATGCACAGTGGCCTGAATGTGAGAGGAAACACTCTGTGGAAAACTGTCCTCAAGAGGCGCTAAGTGTGGAGGACACGGTGGAACCCTCTTCCTGGATTACAAGATGGGAGTTTGCTGTGTAGTGAAATTTGCTTATTCATGACCAGACTACCCCTCAATATTAGGGGATACAGTAACAGTGGTATTTTAACAATATGTTTAAATGAAAAACATATCATTGCTTTCCCTATTAACCTGAATTCCCAGGACGTGAATTTTAACACACTAAAATTCTACATCTGTAGCTAAAGGTCTGCTATTTTCATACTGATTCATTCAAGTTAACTTGGTTTACTAAGTTGAGTAATATGGAAAAGCAACCTCCTAAGAAATTATAAGACTGACAAAACAAGACAAAACTGACAACTGACAAAACTGTCAGCAGCTGTTGACAGCACTGATACTGTCTTTTTAAAATATTCCTGACTTTTAAAGAATAATATCTTGTCAAAAATTCAAGTAGTATAATAATACTTAACTCCCCCCTCCCAAAAAAGAAAAGAAGCAAATACCTGTGTCAAAATCACCACCTTTACATAGCCATTCTCCAGTCTTTTTCATATTTTTTTCCTCTCTTCTGTGACGGTACTTGGGATCAAACTCAGGATACAGCACCACTGAGCTACACGCCCAGCTCTTTTCACTTCATAACTTTGCCAGAGTCTCGCTCAGTTGCCCAGGCTAGCTTTGATCTTGTGACCCTCTGCCTCAGTCTCCCGAGTTGCTGAGATCGTAAGTGTATGCCACCAAAACTAGCTGGACCTATTACGATTTTAAAGAAACTTTTTATCGCATTTAATTTTAAGAAGATTTTGAATTTGGCACCAACAAGTATAACATGTGTAGTGTGCCCCTGAGCGTGTGACACCGGCCATTTCTAGGACCCATGAGAAATGTGGAGCAAGCAAAACACAGCACTTGTTCTGCCTCCTGGAATCTTTTGCTCCTTTCTGTCTCTCACACACCGCTTTCCTGTATCTACTGCCTGGTAACAGAAATGCCAAGGTACCCACAGAATGCCGCAATGCTGTATGATCCTTTACATTCTGGAAAAATACAGACTGAGACCGGGGTTCATATTCCAAGTGGATCACTTGCAAACAATATTGCTTTGATCTCCTTGGTTAGCTCTTCCAGTCTGTTCTTGTTTGTAAAATGCAAGCGGCATAACATAGCCCTTAAAGCGTGCAGGTCCTGGGAGAAACTGCACGGGATCAAATTCCAGTTCTGTCGGTGCACAGCTGTATGATGTTCAGCTAGATATGCTCTTTTATCTCTGTGACTCAGTCGGGTCATCTTCCTGGTAAGTGAAACACTGAAGCATAGTAACTCACAATATTTATACACTCTTACAAGGAAGAAAATACTCTGATGATTGACCGAGACAATAAAGGTAAGACACTTAGAAGAATTCCTGGTTTATAAAAAATAATCAGTATGTGAAGGGTATTATTCCTCCATGCATCCGTTTCATACTTTGTGTTAGGAGTCTTGAAGCCCATCGTGAGGTTTGATGATCAGCTGGGAGGACTCAGAACTCAGAGAAGTCATTACTCTCACCATTATGATTTACTACAGTGACACAATACAGATTAAAATCAATAAAGGAAAAACTGCACAGGGCAGAGGCCAGGAGAAACCAGGTGCAAAGTGGCAGCTGTCCTCTCCCAAAGGAGCCGGATGGTGCTTTGTTACCACAGAAATCACAGGCAACGTCACACACGAGGGAAGCACAGAGCAGCACAGTATCGCCAGCGCAGGAAGCTCACTTGAGTCTTGTTGGCAAAGGTTTTTAAAGGCTTGGCTGCGTGGCTGGTTTTGAGCTACTCAGCCTCCAGTCCCTCAAAAGGCTGAACTGACACAGAGGAACCCAGGGCACTATGTGTTGGAAAACAACTGGTCATCATAAAGCTTGCTGTGAGCATGATCAAGCTAGACTGACCCAAGGACCTAGAGATACACAGGTGCCCGCATCAGGCAGCGGATTTCCAGGGCTTAGAGGTCGTCCTGCAGGAGCCAGTGAAGACATTGCTTTGGAATATGAAGTTATTGAGCTAACACTCTACTAGATAATAATTTATAGAGCAACTACAGTGCGTGTCATGTCAAATATTTTAATAAAGTAACTCACAATATGTGCACAATCATACAGGGAAAGACATCATTCCATTTTTAAAATATGGATACTGATATACTGAGATTCAGAAAGGCCAATAAGTGTTTATAGCCAAATGACTAGTATGGAACCCAAATCTAGCTCTCCAATATCCAACATTTTACACAACATGGCATATATAACTACATCATAAATATATTATACAAATACCTGACTGATAGTGAAAAAAACAATTTAAAGAAACATTGACTTTGTAGAAAACATGAAATAGGTCTGTGTGTAAATATGTTCATTATAGGACAGTGCTTTAAAGCGCTAGGTTTTTATTCAAAGCCTAATTCACTCCTAAGTGACTATAACCAGGTCCAACAAAGTCAATGGTTAAGTTTCCCAGAGATTAAACTGAACTAGCTCTTTAAATTTAACCTTCCTTTACTTTATATCTCAGAACTTTTTAATCCTCATGAACATTTGCTAAAATACCGAAATGACTTACCCACTTATTAAGAATAACAATTTTTTTCCTAGTGGAAATGTATCACCAGTTTCCCTAGTGAGCCAACAATGCCTTCTCTATTTAATATGTGTGTGGTTTTTTTTTCCCTCCTCATCTAATCAGCTAATACTTTTCAAAAGATCTTTTTAATGCCTAAATGAAAGGATTCCACATCAAAGACCTGACCTCCCTATTAAAGTATCTAAAGGAAACCGTAGGAATGTAAAATCTATTCAAAAGAAAAATCACAGGTAGCTTATTGTACAATGCATTAAGAAAAGAAAAGGAAAAAAAGACTTCATAAGAGCTGCGTGGAATTTGGTAAAATTATACCACAAAAATACAAATCAATCTAAGTATAAAGAAACAAATTTCATAACCAAAAACTTACTACAAAAGTGCTCTGTAATCAGCCAGGAGGAAGTCTTTATGAGAAACTTCTGAATTTGTCAGTTTTTCAATCAAAAATTTTGATTACATCTTAATGCTAGAAAAGCCAAAAGGAGAACTAACTACACATTTTTCAACAGATTTAAAACCTGACACTTTTAAAGCTAACTTTCAACATCAGAAAAGGTAGTTTTATTACAGAGACAAGAGTCAAACGAGCTAATGAAATAAAAAATAAGAGTGCAGATAAAAAATTTAAAAAAACAAATTAAAATTTTTTACCATACCATAAATGCAGTTCTGAAGTTATTCAAGTCAATGAAAAAGTCTTCCACGGATGCCTTTTTCACATCAATGGCGTAATATTCCATTATACTCTGGTACAGTTTCTCCATGTTTCCAAGTAACTCTGAAAGTTTTCCATATTGTTCTTTGGCACTCTTAACAAAGCTGTATATAATAGTTAAGGTTCTGAAATTTACAAACTAATGCTTTGAGAAACAGAATCTATACTTCTAATATTCCAGCCTAATTTTTATTTACCACCACCACATCTCTAGAATTTCAAGATTAGCTCTGCTGACCATTTTTGCAAGAAAATCTACGCAGTAAGCAAAAAATTTTTCTGTTCCGCTTTTAACTAGGGCAAAATTATCAGAAAATTTAACTTTTCCCATATGTAATATTTCTGTCACAATTGAATTCAAGAAAATGTCCCTTCTAATTTACCATAAAAATAATCTATAACATGCAGAGTAATTGGAATAATACTGATACAAACAATACATGCTCTGAGTATGACAGTTAAAATGGACAACAGGAGGTCAATGTACACCCCCTACTCTTGGTTGCAGTGTAACTGTGGACAAGAATTTCACCTCTTTGCCTTGACTTCTTCATCTGTAAAACTGGAGTAATATCAGTATAGTTGTGAGAATTACATACCAGCAAGGTGAGAAAAGTGATTTCACATGTAAGTATAAATACAAATACCTGGTGTAATTACTGCCCAGTTACTCATTTTGAGCTTCAGAGTTCTAAAAGCAGTATTTTTTTAATGAATGAATTTAAAACTTCTTATGCTGTGTATTTAAAATAATCTTTCAAAGTCTTAGAAAACTTATACATAATTCCTCCCATCCATTACATCATTAAAAGTTACGATTACACATGCAGGCAAAAACATAAGAAATGCTGCCTTATTTATGACAACAAAGTTCAAATTGAAATGAAATGAAATTGAGTAATTTAATGTGAATGTGATGGTCACTGGAAGTAGAAAATATGATCTAAAAATGCCACAGAATTTCCTATAACTATGGAAACAGTCAAATGGAAAACCCCACACCATGTTCTGAAATGATGATTCATAGAGCATCAGTAGCAATTATTTGTGGCTTCTTTAAATGAGTACATATAAGGAGATGGAACATACAAAGGTAAGTCTACAAAGGCTATCTTATCTTTGAAGAAGACAAACATGTTAACATTTAAAACAAATAAACAAATAAATGGGACCAGGCTAGGAGAAGGAAACAAAAACTGTAATGTTTTTATCGAAAGAGAAAAATTTCTACAGTGTCAAGAAAGAGGTTCCTCTGGCTAGAGCTTTTCCAGGTGAAAATGATATAAACAACCTGAGGAAAACCCTTCATTTTGAGAAAGAAAAGAATCGGTGAAAAATGAGACAGTAGGTACCAGGTTCTGAGGTGATCCAGGACACATGAAATAATTAGAGCCTGGTCTCCCAAGGTACCAAGGCATCCCAGTAAACCCCACCTCCCTGTCCACATGTCTACCTGTGGTCCACAGGGTGTCCTTATGCCTTGTGTTCCTGTTTGTTTTCAACTGTGATCTGCTTAGTAGTCCAAGTAGCACTGTGGTAGGGGAAACTGCAGTGGAAGACAAGGAACTGACTCTAAAGCTAGAGTTTAATGATTCTTACGAAAATGTACAGTTTGTGTGTGAGTCGGTTTATATTCACCTGAAGAGCAAAATGCCTCTTTCTAGAATACAGATCTTAACAGTGCCAGCATCAGATGCATTTAAATATGATATCATTTCATAATTCCTGGATGAGTAACAAAACATTTTGCATAATGAATCAAATTTGAAAATTTTAAGAAATCATATGAATAGAAGCAAACCAGGTTTCTATACACACCAAAAATCACGAACTATTATAAGTGAATTTACATAAAGATAATATCTGAAATGCATTCAGAAACTATCACTTAATAGAATATGTGGTTACTTATTTGCAATGTAAAACAATCACACCCAAGCAATCATACCCCAAATCAAGGATTTATAAATTGGCTTGCTTAATAAGCCCTCTCTTAAAATTATTTATATTCCAACACAATATGTATCTATATGGTTTATTTGTATACTCTGCACTCCTACCTAAAAAAGAGTAATGTATGTTTCCTTCTAATGGTCCAAATCAATAAATCAACCAACCATTTCCTCAATTCTTCCTCTTTCATAATGTCTTCCTCTCACCTCCATAAAGGTAACAATCTGTTTTGAAACACAGAATCTGTAGAATGCTGTATTTATTTGGAAAATCCTCAGATACTTTTTTACGCCTGTGAGTTTGTCCTTCTATTTTACTCTTTGGTGGAATTTTGTTCTTGCTGTTGTTTCTGGCAAATGTCATAATCTCTGGGTGTCTGTTTATTCTCTATCTCATTAATTGCATAAAGTCTAGTCATCTGCAATGAGATGGGTGCCAATTACTTATTTTAGGCTAGTACTATCATTCTTAAACTCTGATCCTCAAAAGTGGTCTGATGAAAAGCCATGGAACTTTTATTTATAAAATTGCGCAAATGTATGGACACAAATGGGTCCAATATCATACATACAGCTACAGAGTCCCTGCAGAGTGTTGATCTCAGACAAAGGTTACATTCACTATTGGTTAAGTGTCAGGACTCTGCCTCTGTCGGTCCTATCAAGGCTATGAGTTTTAACAATAGACCTTCACAAATGTAGTAACTTTATCCTAACACCTTGGAACACACACATTCTCAAAAAGCCAATTGGTTAACAAGTTAAAACAAAGCAATGCCTTAAAGAAATATTTTCAGAATCTTGAGTAATGAAACATCAGAAATAGTTCTGTGAATTCTTATAAAAACAGTAAAACTCTCATAAAAGATGTGATGGAAAAGATGACCAAGAGCCAGAACCACAGAAATGACATGGCTTTATTCTAACAGCTGGAGAGCTTTTAAGTTAATTTTGTTATCATTATTATGAATAAAACAATTTGCTTCCAAAGGAAATCAAGTGGAGCTTTGAATAACTGGAACTACCCAGAAGAATGGTAAAACTGTGATTAAACTGAAACAATTTTGGAAAAAGCCAAATTAATCCTGCAAAGTCTAAAATGACTTCTTGGTAGGATGGAATAACTGGTTCCATGAGGAGGCACACTACATTAGTATTTATGGGCTTATCCTCCACCAAGGGTGGGGAAACACCCAGATAAAGAATCACCATCAACTAGCAAGGAAAACAAGCATAGCTGTCTGTGCACCAGCTGTTAAAGTCAGTAGTAGCTCATCTTTAATTATTGTTTCCACAGCATCAAGTTCTATTTTTATAAAGAGCTTCATAAAAAAAATATGAAATGCTCAACCAAGTAAGTATTTGATTAAATTATATATATATATGCAATGAATATATATTCCAATTACATGATGTTTTAAGGAATCTACCTTTATCAAAAGTATAATTCTCATTGATTTCCATTTTACTGTAAATTTCCCATCAGATCTGTGTTCACATGCATTGAACCACAAGTATTTGGTGCTGGCCAACTAAGGAGCATGACTAAGATTTGGTACTCTCCTCCTGGTTTGCCAATAGAATAGCACTAATGCCAAAACTACCTACTACAAATAGATTCCACATATACCACATTCTTAACTCATATTATTAGTGTACCTTTGCCATATAAAAATGTACCTTACTTCCATCAATACACCTTAGAAAGCCCAGCTTCCATCAATCCTATATATTTAATAACTTTGATAGACTTTCTCATGACTTCGGATGTTGCTGTCCATTAAATCAGAATTTACTATTTTCCAAATATTCTTATAGACACTAGAAAATACTAGGTAAAAAGATAAAGTTCCTATAGCTATGAGACACATGTCAGAGAATGGGAATTCTAGGAACTAATTCTACATTCTCATTCTAGTAAATAATAACAATAAATGTGATTTTAAGTTATTGATATTATATAGAGTATGATAAAGGATATCATGAATTGGGTAGTTAGGGAAACCTTTGCTAAAAAGGTAAGATTACTACCACTGAGTTACCATGATAAAAGAGTAGATAGCACTTAGCTGTATAGCATTTTTTGGTTAAGTGTAATAAGACTTCAGAAAGTGAATCATTGCATATTGAAAACTCAGAAAGAATGAAGTGAGTATTTAACCCAAGTCTTAAAAGTTTATTAAGAATGGGTCAAGAGGAAGAGAAAAAAAGAACAGAAAAAAGGAAGGGATGAGAAACACAAAATAAGCTCAAGAAAAATCTACTACAATAAAACATTCAGTTACCCAGCTTCCTAGCTTCTTGCAGCTGGGCTACACATTACACAGCTTTACGTCTCAATTGCTCCATCTCTCTTCTACTTCCAAGCCACAGTTCAACTAAAGAAAAATAATTTAAATTCTTTTACCTGAAAAATGCTACATTTTGTACAGCACAGGATACAGACATAAGTCTTTCGATGAATTTACCGGGATGGTTTTAGCATCTAACCAGTAATCTTGTAAATGCCCAAACCTCTGCTATATAGAAGACTAACAAAAATAATGTATAAAACTAAACGAGATTTCAAAGAAGAACAAGATAGAATCTATTTATAAGATCTATTTATAAGATAGAACAAAGGTTAGAGCCAAATAATATGTCACATAAGTTGTGACAAATATAAACATGCGTCTAGTAAAATGATTTTTTTTCAGAAAGATTCAAGAGAAGGTAAAGAATAGAAAGGCAAGAGCTTGTGCAAGGAGAATTTCAAGAATATGTTTTATATTTTCCTTAAAATAAGAAAAATTACAGAATTTAAAGGTCAAAGGAAAGGAATATGCAATGCATGACAAATTCTGGCTTTTTTGTAAATTTCACACTAATAAGACTTCAGTAAGTATGTCACCTCATGTATAATTGTTTACATATGACAATCCTCGTGATCCAATGTCAAGTATGTGCTACACATTTCCCAAGTAAACATTTACTGTGGAACTATCTGACCCTCATTATAGTTCTAACTAGGTTTAGCAACTGGAAAATAATAATCATTATGAAAAAGTCAATGATATATGAAACACCTATGTGAGCCTTTTCAACTTTGTGTTAAATTCATAAATTATATTAAGAAGTAGATGTAAGGAGTGAACATGCACTGGAAGAATAAAATCATACTCTAATTGAGTACTATTAGTGATACTTCATTTTAACAAAATTGTGTATCTATAACTCAAAACAGATTATTTGATAGTTTACTAAGTCATGGTTGTTTAATGCAAATATGTACTTATAAAGATGTATCATTAGCTAAATAATACAGATATTCTTTGAGAAGTGGCTGATAAACTAAGCATTTGATATGTGTTTAAACCAATAACCAGTTAAATGTAAAACATAAACAACGTTTGAGTGTGAATAACAAACTTTAGTTAATATTCTTTTATTCACTGGATGTTAGCTTCCAAACTCTTCCATTCTCTAAGATCTAAGAGACTCACTATTTGCCATTTTAACAAGATCTGCAGAAATGCATTTAATATTCAAAATCTGACTTGTTGTCAGTCCTAATTAAAGTAAACAAAGTCTTACAATGAATGAATTTAATTACTTCGAAACTAGTATGTCTAACTAAGATGAAAAGCAAACGAGTGCAATCTAATCTTGGTGAAGAATATTTATGATTATAAGCTTTGTCAATAGCAAAGTGCACCAACTGTTCATATATCTGACTTCCAAGAGATACATGAATGCTAATCAGTTCATTAGAGGCTTCTAGGTTGTGATATTTAGCGACAGGATATAGTAGCTTTCTTGTCCATGGAGTGTAATTGTACTCAGAATGAAAAATTGCTTCCAACAAAGCATCATCTTTCCTGTTTCTGATTTCTTGCTGGCTGCTTTTTAAAGCTGCATACCTTTCAAGAAGCCGACATCATTCAGCTTCTCATGTTCTATGAATACAAGTACAGATAAGTTCTGAGATCGTCTGCCGAGCCGAATTCTGCAACCCTTACTCCAATCTCTGAAAACCCGAGCTTCATAATTACTAAACTCAGAGTGTAATATCAAAAGCTCCATGTAGGCAAAAGTCTATCTCCTAAAATGTCATCTATAGCAAACAATAACAAAGTACTTACATTAATAATACTTAATGATAAAATATCACAAGTGGACATTTTAACATGATGAAATGAGGGAAGAGGCTATGAACAGTGAAACTGATATAACCGTGCAATAATATATTTATTTTTAAAAACCATAACTTGCTAAATGAGAATATAGTGCAAAATACATTTTTGATTGATAATATAGACATTTTTAGTTTAAGAAGGAAAAAAGGAAACAAACCTTGTTAGTAGAGGCATAACGCACCCTCCCTAATAAGGAACTGGATGGGTAGAAGAGATGCAAAACAAACAAACACATTAGCCTGAATTACTGCTGCTAGAGAACATTTTAATGATATTTCCTGACAGAGACAGTGAAAGGAGCTAAAACTCAATTAATTCATAATTAAGACGAAAGCATATCTATGACAAACCAAGTAATTTTGTGATTCACTAAATTTTAAGGAAGAAGGTATAGAAAAAGAAAAATTAGCTATTTTATTTCAGCTGTATCAGTTTAGAGAATTAGGAATCACTATAAAAGCTCTTCGTAGAAATGGGTTATTCTTTCATATTCAGATATCCACGTGAGATTTTAATAATGCATTGCAATAATAATTGCAAAACAAAAGGGATCAGTCTCTACATTCATACAATGGTTTGTAAAGTAACTCAACATTGGTTTCAGGAAATAAAAAAGTTTATCACTTCATTAGAGATTAAGTTACAAAGTTAATAAAGCAAAGGTAACAATATAAAGGAACCTTTAAATCAAGCAGGACACAAGCCCTGTGCTATTAATTAATATACATATTTGCGGTTTGAAAATACAAACACAAGTAGTGATTATGTTGGTCTTGATTTTGACTTTGGAGCAATGTAGTACTTTTACAGCAAACACTAAATTTGGTGGAGCATGAGTTAATTTCTAATCTATACCAATCCTTAAAGCAGGCTCATTGCACTGTGAATTTATGAAATCTGTATCTGTTGCCTGAAATATTCCAAAAGTATCTAATTCCATTCATGACTTCATGCTCAAACTTTCTCAAACTTAGTTTTAATAACCTTTGTCATGAACATCAGAAGGAAATAGGCATATGGGAGGCAAAAGATGGGAGAACATACTATTATCCAAGCAGACAAAAAGAAAAAAGAACAGAAATCAGAAATAATTATCACTTTAATTTCCCTGCTAGAAGGCAAAGGTTCAAGCTTGTACAATTTGGCACTACAAAATGATTTCTGGTTATGCAAATACTCTTAAAATAATAAATATATTGTAAATCCAGTTGACTAGTGACTTAAGCTATTTAGATATCAAAAGGATATGGACATCTTTGTCACAAACTTGTCATGCAAGTCCTCAGGAGGGGGAAAGGTTTCCAAATCTTTCTCAAGCTGTTGAAGCTGCCTTCCCATCTGCTTCAAATTCTTTTCCAGCGTTTCTACAGAGACTAAAAGAGAGTATATTAAATGCCTTGAAAGGACAAAATTATAATATATAAAAGGTAAAACAACCTGGAAACAGAGCATTTGTGAAAAACTCTCATGGTAATATAAGAAAATTTGTTATAACAAAAGTTGAATTTTACTGTTTATTTCATAACCTTTTGATCTGAAAACTAGTTATAAAGGAAATTCAATAATAAATGCTTAAAATACACAGCAACGTTTAAGAAATGCCCACATAAACAAACCACATTAGAAGAATAACTTTTGTTTAAAATCAGAATTCTTGACCACTACAAATGGCCATGAAATAAAGTCAACTTAGAGACAAAGAAGCACCTTAACATATTCGGTTAGTTAATAAACCAGCAATCACATTCTCGGATATAATGTTTAATAAATGCAATGACAGAACTCTTCAGAGACACAGCAATTGTTCATACGTGAAAAGTGATGATATTTCAATCTTTTGCTTCTAAGAGAAAGCCAGTCAGATGTTATGCATATTGTTTTATTAGTATTATTACTTCCCATACAAACCTTTTCTGTGATGTTTAAAATTGAGGCAGGGGCTAAAAGTGTGGCTTACTGTAGCAGAGCACATGTTCAACCTGCATGAAGCCCTGAGCTGAACAGCAAGCACCAACTTAACAGAGGCACACAGGTACGATAACTTAAATAATGGATTCTATGAAGAGTTTCCATTAGGACAGCATTTAGGATACTAATTATACCTTGCTGTACACTGCTCGCGGTGGCGATATACATGCCCTGTGTTATACTCTCCCATTTTAATGTCTGCTGGTCAATTATCCATAACTTACACTTCCATTTGATTAGAGCTACGGTGTTGCATTTACTCTTCTCATTTCATGATGATTTTGCTTATTTCAAAGTTTTCTTTCTGTATTACAGAAAAAGATTCCTTTTGCTCTCCTAGTCTATTTGATCTCTCCTCTAATGTCTCATTAGCATCTCCTTTATCATTTCTCAAGAAATCTTAAGGTAGGTGAGTTGGTTCTATACTTCAGAAAAACAAACTTTGATTAAATAATGGCTCAAAAAACGTAAAAATTTTGTGTTAGGTAAATACATGCTCAGAAATATTTATCAGCCGTATGTGTATTTTGGGTTATGGATTAGGTAAGAAAGTTGTAAGGCAAATTGTAATGATTGCTATAGTACTGAAAATTAAAATAACAGCAAAAGCAGCAGTGTTTCCCTCAGTGCTTATGTATGTCAAGCATTGTCTCAGATATCGTTCATTAATTAAGTCATTCAATTCTCACAAGAACACCACGCAGTCCATGCTGCTACTGCCCCCTTTTATGGTGAAGAAGCTGAATCTGAGTAGGAAAAACAACTTAACAAGTGGCAAAGGCACAACCGCAGTTGGGCGGTTTCATTCTAGACCTTATTTTGAACTAGTCTGCTATCTAGAAATAAATTACAGAAATTACCACTATATTTTGTGCAGCTCCACCTCCCTATCAATATCGTCATTTAAATGAGCAACATAAAGTGATTTTACTAAATTGGTTTTCCCTATATTCTAGCCCAGTGCAACCATAAGTAACCCACACATGACTAAATCTAGCGCAAGGATTATCTGAGCACACTGGATACATGAATGCATGGATAGATATAGAAATCATACGTTTTTGTTTTTTTTCCAAAAAAGGAAGCGAACTTTTTAAGCACTATCCCACCACTGAACCACACACTTAATATTGTTTTATTGTGCTATCAACTTAGGGACATCTGAGGAACTGGCAAACACAAACTAGTTTAAAGGACTCTCATGACAAAAAACATAAGGAGAGTGTCAGTCTGGAATACAGATTGCTTTTATGTGTGTAATCCCAAATGCAGTTTCATACCAACTAGTTCTCCAACACCAGTTGGGTTTCCTACAGTTCAACTTAATTCTGATACGAGTTACTCAGAATTGGTGTCACAATCGATACGCATAAAGCCTCAGCCCCACCAAACTGCCTTTGTCTCTAAGGCTGGATACAAGTCTGGGAAATCATCAGTACTTTTGAACTGGAGGATTTCCACACCCCTCTGCCTTTAAGTTCTATAATGCATGACATGTGACTCACAGCACTCAGGAAAGTGCTACACTTGTGATTATGGTTTTATTATAAAGGGTGCAACCTGGAAACGCCAAAGGGTAGAGATGCATAGTACAAAGAATGGGGGAGAAGGGAACATATGGAGCTTCTTCGCTCTCTCCAAGCACACCGCCTTCAAGCTCACTCTGGGCTCCTTCAAAGTCTTTACTGAAGCTTCACCATTGCTAGCTATCAGTGATGAAATCCTTCCCACTCACAATGTAACTCTACAGCCCTTTCCCTCCTCAGAGGCCTGATAGGCTGCTTGTCCTAATTCCCCCTTCTTATGTTTAGTACCTGGGGAGACCCTTTCCACTGAATGAAAGACATGCATCTTCCCAATTCTTTAGGCACCAGTGGGCCAAGAGCTACTTCCTTTGTGATCTCAAGCAACTTCTAATAGGTTCAATTTCCTGCATTCACTAAATGAGAAGAGTCCCACTTCATATATTTACCACCCAGCAATATCATAAAATACGAAATTCTATAATTTAGGATGAAAAACAAATTGAGAAAAATATACGTCATGTTTTTCTTATTCTTAGAATTAAGATGTGATAAATGTCAAATATCAAAATTAGTTACAATTGAATCACAGGGAAAAGTAAGCTGTCAACACGACCAGCAAAGTAGGTACCATACATTATGAAAATCAGTCTAAGAAGAGTTTGTTTTCAAGACCAAAATGTTAGGAATGTTTGGGACATATTGAAACATTTAAAGTCAACATCATTGAGAGTAAGGGGGCTATTGTTAGAATAAATCAGTTCTCGTGGCTAGTCCCACTAAGGTATTTCTTACGCTTTGTGAGCAGTTTCTGATTACATTACTTTCTCATTATGCTTAAATGGATTTAAATATAATTGATCAACCTCTTATTGTTGATTTTTAAATAAGGCCCAAAGCACACTTGGAGGAAAGAAAGGAGTATGTGAATTCTAGGCTAATAAAATGTAGTGTTCAAAACCACCTGAAGGATAAAACTAACGAGCATTTTTAAGAATACTCTTGATGTTTTCTTTTTTAGTAATTATTATTTCCATAAACAATTCCTTTATGTATCTTCAAAAAATAATTTTACTCACACTTTCCAGATTCTTTGAGGTTGACTACTTTTGTTTTTTTAGTGGGGGGTACTAGAATTTTAACTAGAATAAAGGAGTTTTTAATTGCACATTCTTAATATTAAAATATAAGTGCACCTATGTATCACCTGTGTGAGAATTTTTTCATTCATCTTGGCCACATCATTTTGTTCAGAAAATTAACCTGGCCCAATTCACGGTTTATAAATAGAAAATAAGAAAGCAGCACTGTCACTAAACAGAATTGAGTAAACGATTTTAAGGCAATTCTAACTTGTGCATTTTGCTCAGGTAATATTCAGTGACGTGGGACAGCTCAGTCATCTTAGACATATGCTTCCATCCTCAATCGGACCAGGCATAATTTCCACAGCTCACTTGAGAGGATCCCAAATTTTTTCCTGTATCAGCGACTCGCTAGTTCCTATGTTAACTTCTCTTATAACCCTGAAATCCAATCGATGACACCCTGCTCATTTGACCTGACAAACAATACCTTATTCATCCTCAGATAATGTTCTAGTCAGTGGGAACTTTTATTTTATTTCTGATCACTTATTCTTTCTGGTGAAATGCCCTTTCTACCCATCACAACTGGTAATTATCTCTGTTACTAAAATGCACATTTATCTTTATATGTCTCCTTTGCTCTCAGAGAGCTGCACTTCCTTAAGAAATGAGTCTGTATTTTCTTCGTTTTTGTACCTTCAATTTTATGACAGTCTACAGAATCTCAAATGCTTGTTGTACTAATGGATTTTAGATATAACTTTAACCTCTCATGATGAAAGCATCAAGAATAAAATGAGAAAATAACGGATTAAATATCTAGGGCAATGAAATCTAAGACACAGACTTTTCTTTAAGTGTTTTGTTATTATGATAATTATATACTAGTGGTGTTAAAGACTCTTTATAAAACTTAAAACCACAAGTATAAATATTTAAATTTAAAGCAATCATGAATACAGGTCTAGAATGTTAAGATTTCAAGTAAAAAAAAGAGCAGAAATCACAAACATTTAAGTAATCATTGTAATTAAATATAATCTTCTATGAATACCTCCTTGTTAACTGATAACAAATTTACTAAGAAAGTCTTACATATCATGATATAATAAAGAGAAATTAATTTTTTTTTTGTCTTTTTCCTTTTTATCGGTACCGGGGATCGAACTTACGACTGAGCCTGCTTGCAAGGCAGGCGCTTATGACGCTGAGCTAAATCTCCAGCCCCGAAAAATTAATTTTTTAAAGAAAGCTTAAACAACAATTTATTACCATTAGACAATTTAAATATTCAGGCTAAGCTGACCTTTTTATACTAACAGAAACAATTGTTTTATGCGGGACACTAATTCCGGACTCCTGAGAAAATAATTTTTCCTAGACAATAGCAACATTAAAGGTATATTTTAAATTTATGTTAAAAAAGAAAAATCAGGTACAAAAAATGGAGAAAAACAGACCTCAGCATATTTTTTGAAAATGCTGAATATCAAGTAGGTCTACACAAAACCTAAGTACTGGAATATCACTGTAAAAGCACTGTGACAAAAACATATAGAACTAAAATAAGACTGTAAAAAGGCAAAGGCATAAACTGAGAATCAGTGGCAACTTGGTTCCTAACAGGAAAAAGTCAGCTGCAAAGAAGCCTGCTAAATGAACCCTGGTATTCACAGCGGGTAGCTACACTTTCTACTACTCAGGTTTTCTGTCTTCTGACTGTTGATTATAACACTGTTTCAGGGTCTAATTAATTTGCTATGTTTGTTATAGTCAATGAGGGTGTCATTTGTG